GCCGTGGCTCCATAGTCGACCCAGCCTTCAGTGGGTACTGAAAGCAGTCCCAGCAAGTAAAGGCGGCCGGCGTGATGCTGACAATATCCCCCATCTTGAGCCGATTGGTCTATAAAATATAGGTCTAGCCCTATACGCCTAAAGGCCTGGAAAAGGGTCCTTTATTTTACCTTTTTATTTACAGTAAAATAACTAAACACAATGTCTTTTATATCTTTTTTAAATATATTTATGTCTGTATTCAATTATGATCATCATGTGATACAATATTTACAGTTTACTGTATTTAGAAAAACTTTGCTGGACCCTGGAACAGATTAATTTAGTTTAAATTACATTTAATGGGGAAAACTGCCTTGGAACTTGAATGCCATCTCAGAATGGATTATGTTTGAATTCTGAGGTACTACTGTATTACTTCACCCAACCATGGATAAGAATATCAGAAAATTTAATACTATAATAAACTGTGCAATGTATTGTTTGCGTTCACATTTAAATTTACAAAGCAAAAGCATTCTTTAGAATATGCACAAAGATTTAATTCTTTACACAACCATGCGTAAGACAGGAAGAAAATGTAGAACTAAAACGCTTAAAAGCAACTAAATGTAGTTACATTCACATGATATCCAGCAGCTAGTTTCTTTTCTGCTATATGCTTGGCCAGTTGTGTTTAAAATGCCTTGTGGTCGATTAAAAAAACAAAAAAACAACCTTGGCTCCCAGGCTGACCCAGTCTCAAATGCTACAAGGATTAATGACCTGGGAAGTGAATGCAGCTGACTTGATATGTTGGCCCCATCACTTTTCGACAGCCAATCAGTCAATGAAAATATGCACCTAGTATCATATACACAATGACATGAGAATAGTCCTTGACTCTGTTCCTTTACACATATCAAGCTAAACTTGTACTAGCTCACATGTAAAACAAACAAAATGCAACAGCTTTATAATCCTGTCCCAATATGGGACGCAATTATTCGTTATTTTAAAGCCCCAGCCCAGGTGTAGTCGGGGGCCCTAATATAATCTAACGGTTGAAGGGGTTTCTGGGACTTGTGCCCGGGTGATCATCATCCCACTGGTGGCACCTTGTGTCACTGGTTGTAGGTTGCTTGTTGTACGGTCCCGGTGGGGTTAACGACACACACCAAAAGCTAACTGACATGAAGTCTATATTGATGGAAGACTTAACAGTGAAGACAGCACATTTATTGTATGTAATACATTTTGCCAACAATATCTCCAACTCGGGCAGAAATGTACAAAATTGTACAATCTGCATACATATGTACAATCATTAAAATGTAATCCCTTTACTGTCTGTAAAAGGAGCTGGCTGAGTGGCTAGAACGCTGGGAGTCTCATGCAGGAGACCTGGTTTCAAATTTTCTGTTAGAGGCAAAAATAAACATTCTAACCTGAACATCTGGGGCAACTGAAATAGTTGCGCAGCCCCCAATCCCCAGACTCAAGACCCTTTGTTTTACATCAGCCTAAAAAATGCTAAATAAATGGCAGAAAAGGCTGTCATTTCTTTCTGTCCACCAATTAATCTGGTGCATGCATAAGCCTATGATTTGCATGTAACAAATCTGTAAGATACAAACAAAGAAGACACGAACAATCATCACCACCAAACAGCAGGTCCTTTACTGAACACTGCGTTCAGCTCCTCACAGCATGGCTAAAAGGTCTCTCTTTTCTAGCCAACTCTCCAGCTTTAACAGTCAATGCATCTCCAATGTTTTGTATCCCTCTTTGTGAAGGTTAGCCCCAAACCCATTTAAACGGAAACTTTGCGACCCATCACTATTCAGGTCACTATAACTCTTACCATGGTCAAAATACCTCAGCTTTCAGGACAGGATGTCATGCAAATCTAACACTAGAATCATAAAAGTGTAAAAACATTTAGCAACCTCTAAGCTAGGGAGCAGGTCATTTTTAGAATGAAAGGACTCATAAAACACCTTCCCCGTGTAGGTTCTGAGACCCCATTGTGGAGACAACAAGAAGAGACCCGCTGCCTCCTCAACAAGCATGTTGAAGAGTTTAACTGGGGACTTCTTTCAAATTCAGAGCGCATCTGCTGGAGAGGCATGGAACCAACAATCTGCATATCTTCTTCTTCAGCGATCTCTGGTCATGCGCATAATCCACTGTGGGTCATAAACTGGGATGTCTTTTCAAGGTCTCCTAGGTTTCCCCAAAGCTTAGTTGTCAGTTCTACTGGGTGTTGTCATATGTTGCTCCGCAGCTCTGCCAGGAGAGGACAGTCTCGCAGGACATGTTCTGGAGTCTGTTCAGCACGAAGGCATTGGCAGAGAGCTGTTTGGCTCATACCTAATTTATGTGAGTGTTTATTGAGTCTGCAGTGTCCAGTGCGTAAGCGAAAAACTGTGACTTGGTCTGTTCTGTTCATGTGTTTCAGAAAATCTTTTCCGTAGTTATAACCAGTGTTGGTTTTCCAATCTGTTTCTGATTTTCTCTTAATGAGAGTTTTGACTTCTGGAAAAGATAGTGGCTGGTAGGTCTGTGGTTTATTACTGCCTTCCTTGGCTAAAGCATCTGCGCTTTCATTGCCTTTGAAGTCACAGTGAGACGGAATCCACTGCAAGTGAATTTCTGCTTTATTTGACAACATAGCAAGTTCCTGTGTTAGACTTTGTAGTGTGCTGTCGGTAGGTTTGGACTCAAGGGCCTGTATAGCTGACAGTGAGTCAGTGAAAAAAACTATCCTGCCTGCGGTAATTTGCAGATTGTTCATATACTGCGCTGCCATCAAAAGGGCTGAGAGCTCTGCCTTGTAGTTAGAGCAAGTTCGTCCGGTGGGGGCTGCTAGGGACACAGTAGTGGCATCTGGGTGTTTTATGTAAACACCTGCCCCACCATACGTAGTTGCCTCTTTTGCTGATCCATCCGTGTAGATTCTCGTCCAGCTGTCCTGTGGGAACATGTTGTTGAGGTGTTCCATTGTGAGTGCTTTCTTCACTAAAGCGGGCTCAGCATCTTTGTTTCACAGGTTCGGGATGGATGTTGACACATTGAGTGTCAATAATTCGGAGTCCCAGAGATCGAAAGATAACTCTTCAGGTGTACATTGTTGGTTAAGTAGTGAAGAGAATGACTTTCCAAATTCCTTAGTTAGATGGTTCAGGCTTGTGCGCTTTATTCGGTTTTTTTGTCCTGGCTGCCAATTTTTCGTGTAATGGGTGGTTTAGCATTCTCTTCATTTTTTCTGCATGTAGAATTGCTTTTGTCCTAATCTGCATATAAGTAAGTAAGATCTGTAAAACAGATGTGCACGCAACATTCAAGTTTTGCAACTAGACTATACAACCAGAACTTTGAGCCAGAGTTTACAGCCAGATAAATGCGAAGAAGAAGAAAAAGAAGATAAAACACCTGACATATGCATGTCTTTATTGCTTTTTGAATTGTTTTATCCTCCATATGCCAGTAAAGTTGGAGAACTACTAAAGATACAGAAAGAAAGTTAAATGTATTTGAAAACAAAAGCCTGAGGACAATTTTAAACATAAAACACAATGAATTCAATAGCAGTGGAGATACAAGAGAAATGTCTTGGCAACCACTAGTATCAACAGTTATGAGAAGAGACGACAAAGATACCAAACGGGCACTGAAAAGGGAAACAGAAGGAATGAGGAAACGAGGACGTCCAAGAGAGGCAGATGTTGATAACAGAAGCTGAAGGCGCTGGATTGGATTTCTTCCATAATTCTGAACTGATGCACTAGACACAACAGAATGGACAAACACACTGCGAGGGCCATTGACACATCATGGCACAACAGGACAATGAATGAATGAAATCTTCTTCTTTGTTCACTGGCTGTAAGCTCTGGCTGAAAGTCCTGGTTGTTAGTCCATTAGGACTTTGGCTTTGTGCCAAGGCCTAACTTTTGCCTGTATATCTGTTTTACTGGCTTAATTGTGTGCAGCTGGTTGTACCAAGCCGCTCGGGCTGATGCACTCTGACTCCGAAAGATCAATTCTTTCTAAAGCAACAATTTCTGAAAGATCATCTTTTCTATCTATTTGAAAAAAAAAAAAAAAAAGTAAAGGACCCTTTTGCCACACCTTTGGGCGTAGAGAGCAATACCTATATTTTATAGACCAATCGGCACAAGATGGGTGATGTGGTCAGCATCATGAGTGGGTACCGGGACTGCACCCGGTACCCACTCAAGGCTGGGTCGACCCAGGAGCCTAGGTCATTAAAAAAAAAATGTCAGGCTCCGCCAGGAAGCAAGCCCACAATCTGCAGGTGAGTGTCTAACCACTCCACCACGGTGACTTCCTTTTTATGTATCCTATGATGATTAATCAGCAACAAAGTGAATGAGGTTATAAAAGTTTTATAACTAACTTCTCCTACTTTTATTCTTCCATGAAGCATAGGTCCTCAAACAAATTCTACCAAGTCCGCTTATCTTTTACCATCATATGCAATGTCCTCTCTTTCTAGAGGGGTCCCATAAGTTTCCATACACTGGAGAAATCTGTTTTAAAAATGCATTACAATGTGTATCCTCCACTGTTGAAGAACATGTATAGGGACAGCTGGGCTTAAGCTTGTAATGGCATTGGTGATATGTTTATTTTTCCTGTGTACTGGAAGCTTATGGGACACCATGCACATTATCTTCTCCTTGGCTGTGGGTTAAAAATAATTTAAATCGAACAAAATTTTTCAATCTCCACAATGGAGACGTACAACTAAGTTACTATTCTACAAATCAATTTCCTAATATAATGAAAATCAAGAATTATCTTGTTAATGTAAATGTTCTTTATTTCTAATACTTTATATCTTAAAGTTTCCTCTCTGCAGATCTTCCTCTTTTGAAATGTGACAACTCATTTTTTTTATAAATAACTGACCTCATGAAGCTTCTGTACACAAAACCAACCACTGTACTAAGTGGTAATGATTGTTTCAGCAAAAAGTATCCATAGGATTGATCTTATTTTGAGTTTCCATTTTTCTTACTGCTAGAACTGTTTCTTTTGAGATCTAATGCCTTGTCAGCGTTTATCTGAAGTTTTGATTTGCCTGGGATGATGAATGAGCTACCACTGTCATCCGACTCAAAGACATCATCTGCATCGTAGTTGAGCAGCCGTCGCTGGGGTTTGTATACGTTGGGCAAGAAACACAGGCGACGAGGATGTGGAGAAGTAGCAGCTGCAGAAGCAGTAACAGTGTCATCAACAGGCTGCAGATCCATGTCAGAGGATGGTCCCAGCAGGGGCAGATGGCTCTTGTACTCATCTTTGGTGTATAAGCTGAGATCTGCATTCCCAGGCCTGGCATCCGGGACAATTCTGATGGCTCTAATGACAACGTAGCCTGAATCTGCATCATCTGAAATTGACATTCAATGATTTACTAAACAACCATATTTGGAAATGTCTTATTTTAGGTAGAGAAAATGACATCTAAAAACTCAACCTTATGGCAGGGCAGACCCAGGCCCTTAGCCTTGATCGAGAAGGGAAGCTGCAGTAAACAGACAGCGCACAGCTCTTCTGATGCAGAGGTTTCTGCAGCATGCTTTGTTCCATATACATATATATATATATATATATATTAGTGTTACCTTTTTTGTGGATTAAACAAGGCAGGCTAAGAGAAGGATCATGCAGCATGAGCAACACAGTGTATCTACAAAACCATCCAGGCTTTGGGCTAAGTACCTGCTCTTTCCAACACCTCAGTGTCTGTGACCCTGTCGTGCCACTTAATGCCAAGAATCTTTTCACAGAAATGAGAAGGAAAGACCCTTCATTGCCTACTGAAGAATGGGAATGACTGAAGTGCAGTGGTGCAAGTTCTTGATTTATTCCTTCCTAAGTAGGTCACAAATAGCTATTTAAAAAAAAAAAAGCAACTCAGATGTTTTGAAGACAACTTACAACAAACATCAGAAAGAGACAGCCATCATTATTTGATCATGTTATGAAAAGAGGGAAAACAGAACATGTGACCACTGGAAAGATTTGTGGTAAGAGAGACAGAAGCAGACAACGTGTGAAGATTCTTGACAGCCTTTTGCCATGGCATGGAGAGGTGTCAACACATGAACTAATCGCAGATTGTGGAGAGGCAAGAACGCCCATTGCAACAACGAAGTATTCAAACACCTTCTCTAGCAAGGCTATTTAATTAGGTTTACTCAGAGGTCAAATGTTGATCATGGAGATCATCATAGCCCACAGGCCCAAGTATAGAAAGACCATTATTGAAGTTGAAATTTTGAACAACGGACCAACATCAAGGCACATGGGTTTAACCCATAAGTGCTCTGTTCTTCTTCTAACTCAAGCCTGAGTCCGAAGAAGCTCAGCATAGTACACAGGCTCTGTAGCACCGGCGAGGATCCTAAAGACTATTAATACAACTGGCAATGATCTGCAGGCAACTCGTTAGACCGGATTCAGCCTGCCAGGTTGAACAGCCCTGTTCTAAAGCAAATCTTTTGAGAATGACCAGAATTTGCCTTGTGAGAGACAATCTTACATGAGCGCAATCCTACAAGATACTCTGTGGAAGACTGGTATAGACCTCGATGAACAATCCTAGTCATGACCCAGGCCCTAATGCAAGTTTAAAAAAAAAAAAAAAAACCAAAGGAGCTCTTAACATACAATGAGGTATACTAGTATAGGTCTTTACTGCTTCTTTGGCTGTGCAGGACAGACAGATCCTGCCTGAACCATGAAGAGTGCTGGTTTTGGTCAACAATCACTCAGATCAATAGCACAACATAGATTTTCTGCCCAGGATATTCGGTGTGCAGGGTAATGAGCAAGCTAACAGGCTCACTGCTGTCGCTTCTATGGGAGGTGAGCTATTTGATATCAAATTGATAGTGGTGGCGCAGTGATAAAGATCACAGTGTGAGAGAAAGCTAAGAGTGTTGTGATGTGTATAAGGAGCTAGTTAATCTGTACCTCCCTACGGGCGCCAGTCGGCTCTTGGATGGTTTTACAGATCCTCACACAAGAATCCTGCCGCACATCCACGTTGTGCGCCACAGATAAGGGCTTACCTTTGTGACCTAAACCGAGCTGGTGGGGGTTCTCAGAGTTGGTAGAGATGTAGTGCCCAGCCTGGCTCACATCAGCCCACCCCTAATGCATGGGTGACAACATCTATCAAAGCCCTTTTGGAACATGGGTAACCACTGCTAGCCAAACACACTACCAAATGACTACCCTCAGTTAAAATGTGTGTAGAGTGGGAAGAACTACTGTACTGCTGAGATTCAGCCCTGTAACAAGAGATTTGCTCGCAGCCTAGACGAGCAACATCTCAAGCCGGCAGTAATTGGTGGACCAGTTCCGTCTACGTACATTCCTTGCTGTTCCTCAATGTCGCCGACACCACTTTGTGATACACCACAACAATCTAACATTGACAGCGTAACTGATATGGTATAACTGTAAAACTGTCCGTCTTATGGCTCAGAAACAAAGACCCAGTGGTCCAATTGAAAAAAGCCCTATTAACTGGCAGAAAAGTTTGCATGCCAGTTACTATTTGCCCCACTTGCGAGAGTGCGGGACCCAAAAGGGGGAGCAATGCCGGGTACATGCTTCTGCCGTATTGTCTCGCTAAGTTTCCAGCTGAAACAACGTTAAAGATGTCCAATGTGCCAAATCAAAATGTACATATTTATGTGGAGATCGAAGTCCTGGATCTGAGGGCTGCTCGTTGCTGATCTCTGGAGGGCGCAGTCTGTGACGATTGAAAAGCTCAACATACGGATGTGAGATTACGCAGTAATGTGCAGGACCTGAAGATTCCTTGGGTTAGCACAGGACCAGAGCGTCATGTGTTGGCTCTGCACTTATAGAAGCCTTCGTGGATGGCAGAGAATGCCAATGATCTGTCCCTGCCATCCCTTGAGGGCCAAACTGTTTATTCACGAATGCCCTAGATGGGGTCTCCATTGGCAACACCTGTAGATAATGGACAAGATAATTCCACAAAAATAAGGGCTCAATATGTCCATGTTTCATGAAACTATCCAGGAAGATAACCTGGTCAACAAATGCTCGAGGAAGTCAGATGTGTCGGCTGAAAGGCGCAAATATCGCAGCTCTGCTGTAAATAGGCACAATGCATTTACATCACTTGCACAAATGAAAAGAAGAAGAACAAAAAAAGTGCAACAGGACAGAGAAAGATTCCATATGCTGAAAGCCTAATTCAAAGGAGGGTGGGCAGAGGTTCTGGAAGATATTTAACATTAAGGGGAAAACATAGGCAGACTTTTAATCAATTGCAACTGGTGTTGTTGGCATACTGACTCTTCACTGGCTACTTAGGAACATGTGTGGGAATTTCTTGAGTGCAGTGTTAATTCTTGATTCCTTTGACATTTCCTGTTAGTTATTTTATGTTTGGTCGACCTGGGACCAGCATAAAGGTAGACAGAGGAAACTTAAAGACACCTCCTGTATGAAAATACAAGAAGCATGGGAACGGGGAAAGGACCTGCTACTCGATGATGAATGTATATTTTCTTTTTCTTCTGCGATCTCAAGTCACTCACTTAATCCACGGTGGGACATAAATAGGGATTTCAGACTCAGGTCTTTTAGGTTTCCCATCAGTTTGGTTTTCAGGTCTAGTGGGTGTGGCCAGATGCTGCTTCACAGCTACTCCAGGAAATGACAGTCTTGCAAGAAATGTTCTGCTGCCTGTTCAGCTTGAAGAACTGTTTGGCTCAAACATAATATATCTTCTTCTTTTTCTTGCACACCGCTGCAAACTCAAACAGAAAGTTCTGGTTGTTAGTCCACTTCTGGACTCTAGTCCAGCTACAGAACCTGAGAGTTGTGTGCACATCAGTTGTACAGTTCTGACACCTTTCTATGTAGACTGTTGGTTTCTTGCCTCTCAGGCAGATGCACTCCGACTTTGAAGGAAGCTCCCAATTAGTGAACTCTTTTGACATGCTTTTTGGTAGGCAGTAGGTTGTTCTTGTTTTCCCTATAATGGGGCACTGGAACCCACACGGGGATCATAATATATGTATAAGTGTTTGTTGACTCTACAGTATTCACTGCATAAATGACAAATTTTGACATGGTCTGCTCTTCTTCTTTCTCTGCGTTCATCCAAAGATGTAACTGTGTTGTGCCCGTTTACAGCATGGCTGTGATATTTGTGTGCCTTTTGGTCAACACATCCGACTTCTGCAGGGTTTTGCTGACTGGGTTATCCTTACTGGCAGTCTGTTCTATTTAGATGTTCAAGGAATGTACATTTGAAATTGGCAACTATAGTTTAAAAATACATACCCATATCTCCTTCGTCTGGCTGCTTAATAACCGCTGCCTTTTGCAGCTTACGGCAAGCCAGCAGCACAACTATGGTTGCCACAACAATAAGAACACTCAGAAGCCCAATCAAAGCAATAGCAAGTGTTTTCCAATACTCCCGATCTTCCTTCTCCATAGTTGTAGGACTTTCCATATCATGTGCAGATGACTTTCTTCTAGAAGAGGTTCTCACATCTTTAATCTTGGTATTCAGAGTATAGTAATCCTTCTCATCAAACATTTCATCTGCCGAACTGCGGTACGGCAACTCGTTTCCGGGATCTGGGAAGTCAATGAATTTAAATGGTCCACATTTTATATCGGCATAGTTTGTGCAAGGGTGCTTAATGATTTGGTTTGTGGGACAGCTGGAGCATTTCTTACAGAGGTTATCTATGATGCTGTAGTAATTTCCATCCTCACAGTGACTTGCACTCGAGCCTCCACTGAATGTCAGTACATTCATTAAAAGACACAATGAGAACAAGGGACTCATGATGAAAACTACATTTACTTGTTCCTCAGAATGTAGTAACAATTCTACCAGAAAGCAGCTTCAACTGAAAAAAAATAGTAATAAAGTTAATGAATTATAATTATACTTATTAACAATTAGAGTCGAAGCCTGTGGCGTTACGAACACACTTGGCATTGCCGGTTCTGATCCCAGCTACAGGCAATTTGGTAACAGACTGAAATGCATTAGTTTCGACTATGGTATTGGAAGCAATGGCAAACTATAAACTACTGAATGTAAATTTGCTTAAAAAAACCCACAATAGCTCCTCTTTCTCTAAAAAAAAATAATTGCTCGGGTTAGTTCTGCAGCATGCTGTAAAGGACGCATACTTTAACTAACAGTTATAACTGCTAACAAATGAAACTCATGTCAAGTCTATGTCTCCATTTTGCAGTGTGTGTGGACAAGTGGACAGCGCATCCTATGAATGAAAACAGCAAGCTCCTCGTGCAGGTTCTGGGACCCCCATTGTTGTGGGGAAAACAAAAATACACCTATTTCCTGCCCAAAAGCATGTTTTAAGAGTCGACTAACTGGAAGCTTTCTTCAAAGTCGGAGTACACCAGCCTAAGCGGCAAGTAACCAACAGTCTGCATGCATATGAGTCAGACTCGTGAAATGGATGCGCACACAACAATCAGTTTCTGGAAAAGGACTCCTTTCTTTATTTAACAAACAAACCAAAATATAATAATTACTAATTAATAATAATAAATACATAATCCACCAAAAACTACACCGAGTGAACGCAACTGCAGATATTTCGTATTCTCTTTAAACATTTACTTTGATCACATAACATATTCACCAATCGAAAATGATAAAATTCACACGAAATCATTTCTTGTGTTGCAAACAAAAGCATCATCTTTGTGGTTGCTGGCAGCCGCCATCTTCCGCCTACACATTTGGCCAGGTTTTGGGAACTTTCAATATCAAACAAGGCATCAAGACCGGGTCAGCAGGCCTAAAACTTTATTCATTGAACTATTTTGAGATATTTGATGCATTTAGTATAACTAAAAATGAGAGGTTGCAACAAAAAAAAAAAAGGTAGCGAGTTTCCACTGCTATTAAAATTTTTGAAAGAGAGGACAATAATGCGGACGTCATGTCAAGAAAAATGTTCAAAATGCAGAGTAGCTGATCTGCCAGGGTCTGGGTTTATAACGACCCAGACTTTTCTCCCATCTTCAGTCGTGCTGCAAATTTAAAAAAAAAAAAAAAATATTCCAGTTCCCCCTCCACATTTGCAGTCTGTATGATTGACACTTCAAAGATGATGCAAATTCCAAAAATTCCCTTTAACCATATAACTATATTCATTCACTCATTCATTGTCCTATTGCACCATTATATATCACATACATAGTTTTAGAAGCTAATTATGGGTATCATTTGCGGAGTGTGGAGAGAAGTTTGAGGTCGAGTGGAGTTCGAGGTGGAGTTGGAGTTGGAGGTGAAGATTGTCCCCAAGATGGCGGTCAAGTGACCTGGTGGTTAACTGGGGTCAAGTGAAAGTGCTCACTCCCCCCCCCCCCCCAAAGATTTCTGTTAGTAACGACTTCCACTTTCACAAAGGGCAGGCCTAAGCACCCCATATTGTGGTCACCTGTATCAAATACTGTTATTAGTGTGGCCCCAACCTCTCAAGCCCTCGTACCGTCTTATGTTATAAAAGGGTGAAACGACTATTAAAAAAGTGAAAAGTCAAGGCCAAACAACCATTACTCGCATGTATTAATAACAGTACATATAAAAAAAAGAAAAAAAAGGCACCCCCTCTAAAATTGCGGGCGACCAGGAAGCTTCCCTTATTTTAGACTAAAAGGATACTGAAATTACGTGGTTTGTCCTCTCTTTCATTCCCATTCATCCTCTCCCTTGTCTGTGGATAACCATCTAATGTAGCTCTCCTTTCTTGTCTGTACCTCTTCTGCTCTGTTTTCCTCGTGCGCCCCCCCCCCCTCCCACTTTAGGCGACGCCCCTGTACCGACGTGTGTTGTGAATAGTTAGAAAAAGAAGTGGGATGTCAAGGCGAAACAACTAATACTTTCATGTGTAGTGTAATTAATAACAGTACACAAACATAAGCCAGCGCCCTTATCTTGAAAAACAGACAGTCCACAAGACAAGGGCTTACCTTATTTTAGACTAATAGAATGCTGAAATTGCCTGTGTGGTCCTCTCTTTCACTCCCAATCATTCTCTCCATTGTATGTGCATAATCATCTAGTGCAGCTCTTGTTTCTTGTCTGTAGCTCTTCTGCCACTTTCAGCCGTTAGGCCAAATCAATGGCTAGACCATAGCTAGACCCCGGCTACATTCAGGGTTACGGCAGAAGCCAGGGCGGGGCTTCAAACGAAAGATTGCATCCTATTTGGGGATGACTTCTAAATATTGGGATTTTAATCTATGACCACTGTGCCCGCAACCAAACATTGTAGGCACTAGGCTACAGACAATCACCATATCATGTGTCCTTTTGTGTGTGTAATGCCGGCTTTCGTGACTCAATTTTGCGCAACAGTGAGCTACAATTCTGGTTTGGGACCATTAGTGTTGGCACCTGACCGCTGCCTTATGTAATTTTACTTTGCCTGTGCAACCTTTGAAATTTTGCTGTAACTGACAAGTTTTTCACTAGTTGTCAAATGGGATGGTGATGGATATTTTGTGTGATTTACACTGGTGAGTGAGAGGCTTTAAACTCCAACAGGACCACGCAACGAGCGATTAACACCCAGTGACACAAAGTGCCTCCATTCGGACGAGAGGCACCGGGGAACAAGTACCAGAAACCCCGTTCAACCGTTAGGCTATATTAGGGCCACCTAGGACTTCTTGAGTAACTCCACTGGCACAAGAACGGACCAGTTATTGAGCAACCAGTCTGTAGTAATGTTGTAATCTCGACTAACGACTAAGACATCAACACCATCATCTTCATCACAACCATCTCTTGTGCACCCACATGTCACAAAGGGCTTCAGTCTCTTCTGGTGCTTATTTTTTTTTTAACCCAAGGAGTGTGCATGTCTGTCTACTGACTTCCTCAGAGCAGCTGTTTTGAATGGTTCAACCCCACAAGGACCTCACAGCGAGCAATAAACACACAGTGACATAAAGTGCCACCATTCGGATGAGGATTACCCGCGCACAAGTCACAGAAACCCTTTTCAACCGTTAAGTTGAAATGGGGGGGGGGGGGGGGAGCCGACAACAGCCGGAGTGGGGCTTTAAAACAAGCAAAAATCGCGTTCCAGATTGAGACGGATGTCTGTTAGCAGCGGCTGTTGTCGCACATGCACCTCGCGAATAGAACACCACTGGAGTGGTTGTCCAACTGGCTTTATTCCCTGCTAGTTTCTGTGTGTGTAGCAAAGTTATTTTTACAGGGTGATGGTCCCACACTCCGCCCTCCTAAATTAGTAATGCAGTGGATACCTTCCCACTGTGGAGTTCCCGGAAACGAAAAAGCTGATAAACTAGCTAAGGAAGGTGCAACTGAAGAACAACCTGACATACCAGTCTCTTATCAACAGAAGAAGAGAATGATCAAATCAATCAGAATGCCACCGAAACTGGCACAAGATGATTACCATATTATGGACAGACCAGAGCAAGTCATTATCCTTCGCCTTAGAACAGGGCACAATCGACTTCGCTCCCACATGTACAACAAATTTAAGATTGGCCAATCAGCCATGTGTACTTGTGGACTGGCACCTGAAACAACAGATCACATCCTTCAAGAATGTCCCAGATTCAACGCTTTCAGGCAAAACCTTTGGCCAAAAGAGACACTTGTGGAAGTCAAACTTTACGGGCCGCTTAGTGAATTACAAAAGACAGTAAAATTCATACTAGAGACAGCTTTGCAGATATAGACAATTTATTTCATGCGAACGAAAGAAGAAGAAGAACTCCGCCCTCCTTTGTCACGCCAGCTTGGGACCTGAAATAACAGAGATACTACAAGGGATTATATTTAAAAAATAAGTAAAAGTCTTTTTTCCACGCCTTTAGGCGTATTGGGAATATAGGGCCTGACCTATATTTTTATAGACTAATCGGCACGTGTAATAAATAATTAAGTTAGGTTAGCTGCGTATCCTTTACAGGACGTTGCAGAACCAACCCCAACAGCCCCTGGCTGTTGTGTGGGTTTTCTAGGCATTTACGTCCAGTAGTTTGCCATTGCATCCTGGACGGTCGGCTTTCTTGATACCCCTGTCGAAACCAACGCAAGGCGCATGACCCGCAGCTGGAATCGCACCTGGCATCCCGGCATTACGAAGCGTTCGCATCGACTTAGCCACAGAGCCGACAATAATTAAGTACTGTAAGCTATTTAAAACTTTCATTTAGAGAAGGGAGCAAACCAAGATTTAAAAAAAAAAAGTGTTTAATGTCTGCTTCTGTCCCCTGATCATGTGCTACTCTTAAGTGAAATTGTGAAAATGAATAGCTTTAAAAAAATATTAATTATAACAATTACACAAAACGTTAGTTTAATCTATATATTTTAGGAATTTATATTTAAAAAAATGTGTTAAGGTAGTTAGTAAAAAAAAAAAAAAAAACCTAAACTCATATATCCAGGGACGATCTTAAGGGATTTCAGAAATTATGATTTGTGAATTGAAAGAGGCAGTTAAAAAAAAAAAAAATAGACGACTTATGTTATGCAGCTGCGTCCTTTTCAGGACGAAATTGTTTGTTATTTGAAGCCCCACCCTGGCTTTTGCCGGGGACCGCAATATGGGCAGGCCATAAATGTGGCCAATTGTCTGAGCGCGGTTTATGGGACCTCTCCACGGCGATCCTCATCCACATGGTGGCACTTTGTGTCATGGGGTGTTTGTCGCTTGTGTGATGTCCTGGGGGGTAGAAAGTCAGTCAGTCATTGACGACTTTCAGAGCGCGATGCAAACGGAACCCAATGAATAATAAGTGACATCCTTTTAGTTA